AGAAGAATGTTAGAGATGGAGCTACCAGGTAGGAGACAAAGAGGAAGGCCAAAGAGGAGATATATGGATGCAGTGAGGGAGGACATGCAGATAGTTGGAGTCAGAGGAGAAGATACAGAGAACAGGGAGAGATGGAAATCAATGATTCGCTGTGGCAACCCCTGAAAAAGGGACAAAGCCGAAAGAAAAAAAGTGTTCTGTACGTGTAGTTGCATAATAAACAATACTGGAAAATTAACAACTCATAAGTTCATACCACAGCATAAATAATTAGTTAATTGATAATGGCGTTTAAATTGTTTGTTAAAATATGGATCGTAACATAGAAAAAGTTTATCGTACAATTAAGGGATAATTGTGTTTTTACTGTTATGACTCGTTGCTTTGCAATCAAATATAGGGCAGAAATCTCGGGTGAGGCAGTGGAGAGCTGTGCCTCATCTGACTGCGCAATCCAATACAAACTGGGTCACATGACGCGGGCCCGTTTCTGTTCCAGCCAATAAAGTACAGAGAAAAGTCAGCGGGGAGGCAAATAGTACTCTGCCTCACTTCAAGGGGTCGAACGTGAACTGAAAGTCGACGCCAAGCTAGAGCCAGTAGTAGGTGAAGAACAGCATTTTCTATGCTCTGCCTGATCTGACTGACTATGGATTGTATTTCAAGACGGAAATATTTCTCAAAACTGGACTTTCGGTACAAACAGAAGATGATTAGTGATGGAAGACCAACGCCGAAGCTAAAAGGTTTGCTTCAAACTTCGGGACAGAAGAGTCGTTCTTTTTAAATGTAGTGGTACAAACGAAAGACTGGCTGTGTGGCTGTCCTGTAAGAAACTGTCTTTATTGCTTTCCTTGTCTTTTATTCCCATCGTGTGATAACGTCGAATGAAAGATCAGCCACGTACAACCAAAGCCAGATTTCTTAAGAACAGAAAACCGTGAGATACAACCATGGACTTCATCCATAATTAAAGGTAAGAATAAAAAAAGGGGTTTTGTTTTTTAAAAATTAGATGGGAGTAAGTAGAAAAAAAAATTCAAGTATTTGATAACAACATTTTTGGCCAAAAACATATATTTTTGTCTTATCAAATTGATATACAACCATTGAATAAAGCACCAGAGTTTAAAGTTTAATAACTGAATTTGTTCCATCCATCCATCCATCCAGACTGCCTAGGTCTCCTCCCAGAGGGACAGGACCTGAGCACCTCCTGAGGGAGGCGTCCAGGGGGCATGGAATGTAAATGCCCAAGCCACCTCAGCCGACTCCTCTCGATGTGGAGGAGCAGCGGCTCTACTTCAAGCTCCTCCCGGGTGACAGAGCTCCTCACCATATCTCTAAGGGAGCTCTTAGAGGTGCTGATTCTCATCCCAGCGGCTTCACACTCGGCTGCAAACTGCCCCAGTGCATGCTGCAGGTCCTGGCTCGAAGAAGCCAACAAGACAACATCATCTACAAAAAGCAGAGATGAAATCCGGTGGCTTCCAAACTGGACCCCACCTGACACCTGGCTGCGCCTAGAAAATCTGTCCAAAAAGATAATGAACAGAACCGGTGACAAATGGCAGCCCTGCTGTAGTTCAACATGCACCAGGAACAGGTCCAACTTACTACGAGCAATGCACACCAGGAACAGGTCCAACTTACTACGATCAATGCAAACCAAGCTGGTCGTACAGGGACCGGACAGCCGTTAGAAGAGGGCTCCCGACCCCATACTCTCGAAACAACCCCCACAGAATACCACGAGGGATACAGTCAAAAGCCTTTTGCAAGTCGACAAAACACATGTGGACCGGTTGGGCAAACTCCCATGAACCCTCAAGCACCCTGTGGAGGGTGAGCCCGTCCAGCGTTCCACGACCAGGACGAAAACCACATTGTACCTCTTGAATGTCTATTCGGGAAAAGTCTATTCCGGCCAATAGTCGAACCTTGACTATCGGCCGGAATAGACTTTTCCCAGGAGGCTGAGGAGTGTGATCCCCCAAAAGTTGGAACACACCCTCCGGTCCCCCTTTTTGAAAAGAGGTATCACCAACCCAGTCTGCCAGTCCAGGGGTACTGTCCCGGACTGCCACACGATGCTGCAGAGATGTGTCAACCCAGACAGCCCCACAACATCCAGTGACCTGAGATACTGAGGGCAGATTTCGTCCACCCCCGGCGCCTTGCCACCGAGCAGCTTCTTGATTACCTCAGTGACCTCAGTGCAGGACATGGGAGGATCAGCCGCTGAGTCCTCAGCCTCAGCTACCTCCACGGAAGACGTGTCAGTGGGATTGATGAGATCCTCGAAGTATTCCTTCCACCTCCCGACCACATCCCCAGTTGAGGTCAACAGCCCTCCTGAGGCGCCGGATGGTTTGCCAGAACTTTTATGAGGCAGACCGGTAGTCCTCCTCCATGACCTCCCTAAACTTTTCCTAGACTCGTCGCTTTTTTGGGCTGGGCCCAGCCAGGTCCCGTGGGCAGAGACCCGGCCACCAGGCACTCGCCTGCGAGCCCCAACCCTGGGCCTGGCTCCAATCCGGGCGACGTGAGCTTCTTAGTTTTTATTGTTTTCGTCATCAAGGGTGGTTTGAATTTTGTCCTGGAGGTCAAAATTAAAGTTGTGCTGCATTCTCTCTATATTTTAATTTGTTTACAGTAAATATGAATTTCTTAGACGCAAGAAGTATGCTCTGTCCATTTGTATAAAAGAAACGTTCTTTGTAGGACAAATATGTTCCGGTGTATATGTTGTGCCTCACCAGCCATGAACCTCACGGCACGTCACTGGTTAAAAGCAGTGGTCGTCATGTTTAGTGATGTGCTGTCACAATGACAAGTAGTTCACTTTCCTTTCCTTCCTACCACATACCTCACCTGGAGTCTAAGGCACAGAGATTTGCAGAGGTCAAATGACCTCTTTGCATTTTTCACTTGTTTGGCTCGTTGTAGGTGTCAATATGAATAAGAAAATCTGGTTGTCTTCTATGACAGACCAAACACCAGGCCATCACCTCCAGGTGACTCACCAAAACCGATCCAGCTCCACCAATGTGGCTCCTTGGTGAGCACTGTCCCGATCTGTGGATGCATCTTCATTCGAAAAAACAGATCTGATGTTCCACACTTTGGTTGGCCCATGATGTACGCGTACGCCAAACAGCGCAGACGATACTGTTTTCCATTCACGTGTTGTAAGTACTTTGGGACGTCCGGCTTCAACTTTCGAAGTTGGATTTCAACTGACTCGTAAACCAAATAAAAGAGGTTGTTACTGTAGAGATTAGAGGCCAGCTCATCAGTGAACTCCTCGTACCAGCAAGGGCTCCGGATATTAGGAAGGAACTGAGGAGGGACCACAGAGAACAGCTGCAGGGGGAAAGAACAAGCAGAGGTTCAATCAGCAGCAGAAGAATGAAGAAAACATTTTACAATTCCTGAAATCAGAGGAGAAGGTTTGAGGAACTCACATGAGGGTTCAACTTCATGAGCTCCTCCCTGTCTGGAACCTTTCTTGGTGGTAACTCCAGTTTGTAGCTAATGATCTCTGAAAGGTCTTCCATATTTACTGAATTTGTGGAGTGTATGTCAGTTGATAGACTGGTCGTATGGCTGACATCTTTAAGAGTGAAGCTGGAAACTGGGCTTCTGTTGTCTCTCCACGTGGCGTAGGAAACAATGAAGAAGAAGGTCAGTGCCAGCACCAGAAGGAGAAGGAAGAGTTGAGCCCTGGACCTGCACCTTCTGCTCATCTTCCTGAAAAACCTGAAAATCCCT